TGCCCTAGATATTGTTTGAAAGTGTTTTGATTCTTTATTGTTCGGTCACACTTTACATTAGGGCTTCATTAGTTAATTCATTAGTTAGCATAAACTGCCAATGAAAAATTCTTCTGAACATTCATTAATCTTAGGTATTACAATATTTAATAACATGTTGTTAAAATCGAAATTTGCAACTGTGTTATTTAATGAGCTAACATGAACTAAGACTTGTATTTTTTAAACAAAGATTAATAACTTCTGTAGCAAATGTAGCTATTGCTCATTGTGAATGTTAATGCATTAACTAAGGTTAACTAATGAGGTCTTATTGTAAAGTGATACCTATTGGTCTTTATAGTTCTTTTGCACTTTAATCTGTTTAAAACTTTTAACTTTATACATTTTTCTGTATTGCTTTATTGCATTTAAATGTTCAGTTATTTGAAAAAAGTTATTAAACCTGTTATACTGTATTATGACAGCACTTTTTGAAAACTAAATTCAAATATCGTGATAATACCGTATACCGTGATAAACGCATTAGCAATTAATCGCAACATGAAAATTTGATACCGGCATATCCCTAAATGCATCCAACCTGTATTTACATATAGGAGCCATTTTAATATAAGTACATTATATTATTGTTATTACCGAAGGGGAAAAACATCATATATTGGTCCGAGAAATACATTTCGTCCCCTTTATACAAAACGTATTCCCTTTTAATTTTAGGGAAACATTTTACGTTTCCATATTCGCATGCTTTTCCGTCAGAAAATACCTTGAATGTGTCTTTTAAATCTTCCTCGGTGAAGGCTTTTGGGATCATGACAAAGATTCTGGTGAGCTCCTCGTCCTCCACATCTCTGTGACTGCCAGAAGACCTGGACTGAGCGATGAAGACCTAGACAAGCAAGAAACGCTGTAGTTAGTTACCTCCAGCACCGAGAGCCAAGCCAGGCGCTGCGTGCAAATAAACACCTTTATCGGCTTGGTTCCTTCGGCCAGGCATCTGCCGTGCATCTCCTCCATCGCAGTGCAGGCTTGCGACGATTTGGCGAATTTCACAAACGACACTCCTTTCGACTCTTTCGTCTGCTTGTCTTTCACCACCCAAATGTCCTGAATCTCCCCGAAAGCGGCGAAATGCTCCCTGATAATCTCCTCTGTGATGGATTTACTGGTAACGAGAAACAGCCGACTGTTTGGTGGCTCGTCCAGATAAGAAGAGGCTCGGTTAGATTCATCCATACTCAGAGTAATAGGGCAAATTTATATGATTAATTATTAGGCGTTTAGCCAGCTAGAGCCTGTAGGGGAACTGACGTCTTGACAAATTGACGCATGTGGTCAAAATATCATCCTGATAGCTCTACAACAATAACTCACGCGAACAACACGGCAGCCGAATACACGCGCAGAAACGCGTGTCAAAATAAAAGTCACAGCAGACGACGGTGGCTCTTTTAAAGCAACAGTTCACCCAAAAAATGAAAATTCTGTCATCACAGTTGGTGGTTGCCATTGACTTCCATAGTAAGAAAAAAAATACTATGGAAGTCAATGGCAACCACCAACTGTTTGATTACCAGCAATCTTCAAAATATCTTCTTTTGTGTTCAACATAAGAAAGCAACTCATACGGGTTTGGAACGACGTGAGGGTGAGTAAATGATGACAGAATTTTCATTTTTGGGTGAACTGTTCCTTTAAGTCACATGCCAGTGTTTGTTTTTTATTAAACATTATCAGGTTTCTTTCTGTTCATTACAAACGTCTTGGAGACGTTCCATGCATTCGAATCAAGTATATCCTTTATAAATGTTATTGTAAAATTGTAAATAAATATCATTCCAGGATATCAGGACAGCTTAAAGTACAATGACAAGCATTAACCAAACTCTTACAGTGCTTAAATAAATAAATAAAATTCAATATTTGACAAAAATTCTAAAAGTTTTTCTGGTGAGACCTTTTCCCATTTAAGAACGTTCAACGTACTTTTGTATATATTGAATAATATATTGTATATATTATATATCGAGTATACCTTTGCCTAGAGATATTAAAAACACACTTTTTAAACTCATATGTTTACATTAAGTGGCCAATGGCCAATACAAACAAACAATAAATAAACTCCCTTCATTTACATTAATGATATAAACCGTTTTTTTTTTATCTGAAAAATCAAACTCATGTAGAAAACAATGAAGACTTTCCTTGAAATTATGTCATAACATTGTAAAACTAATTTACTATGCATTTTAATAATGGCATAATAAACTCACGGAATTAAAGCTGAATGAATCTCATTTTATCTTGATTTAAGCACTTTTATTAATTAATCATATTAATAAAAAAAATTGGTAATATTCATAAAAACACAAACTGACAACTGCACACTGTAATTGATAAGAACAACCTGTAAAGGACAGCATGGTGGTGATTACAAATTTCACATCCTGTATTTATTATTATTTTTTTACAGAGTTTACAGAAGTCAGAAAAATGAGTTAGGGGTGTCACATTTGATGGGACTCACAAGAAGCCAGCAGCAGGTTTTTGGCTGAAGGGAGTGTTGCTGGAAGAGAGGCCAGCAGAGGGAGCTCATCCTGTGCTCTGTGTGGATCTGAACCGAACACCCCAGCGCTGAGAGCCGGGCAAATGCAGCATCCACAGGCGGGGTGAACCAAGGTAATGCTGGGTTAGTACACACTATAAAGCCGGGCTCACACTACAGGAGCTTTAAAATCCTAACCGATTATGAAATCTGGTTGCAGCACACACACACATAAGGAGAATCTTTGCAGATTATCTTCCCTCAAATCTTAAACATGCACACACTACAAGATTTGACAATCGTGGCGTATCACACACTACTAATTATCATGCCAGAGGGAGCGCCTCACGTGATCTTATACAGCAGATCGTCAGCAATGTTAGCTAGTGTCTAGCAGCTTTCTGCACTCACCCGGTACCAGTTTTGGGGGAAAGTTACTATTAAAAGTAATGCATGACAATAATGAGTTACCCCCTAAAAAAGTTACTAATTGCACTACTTAGTTACTTTTTATGGAAAGTAATGCATTACATTACTTTTGCGTTACTTTCTCTCATCTGGGATGGGCTTTCTTGTTTGTTTTAATATAAAAAAGTAAAATTTTTGCCATATGTAAAAGCCCTTTCACACCAAACGTGAAATTAATAAGCCTCAGGCTAGGAAATGTAAAATCAATTATTAACATATTTAAAGGGGTCATATGATGTTGCTAAAAAGAACATTATTTTGTGTATTTGGTGTAATGAAATGTGTTTATGTGGTTTAAGGTTCAAAAAACACATTATTTTCCACATGCTGTACATTATTGTTTCTCCTCTATGCCCCGCCTTTCTGAAACGCGTCGATTTTTACAAAGCTCATCGGTCTGAAAAGCAAGGTGTGCTGTGATTGGCCAGCTATCCAGTGCGTTGTGATTGGCCGAATACCTCAAGCGTGAGACGGAAATGTTACGCCCCTCACCATACTGTGATGCCGTCTCCCAGCGCGACGAGACAAAACCAGTAACACCCATTATAAACGAGTCATTTGTTGCATCCAGTGGGGACATAATTACGGATTATAATGACTTATACTGTCTAGACTGTCCTTGTAAAGTTGGAACTGCCCCACTTTAAAGAAACAGGCACCGGCATTGTAGTCTACTCTCACAGGAAACAGTCCTCCATAAAATGTGCTGCACACATCTGAATATTTGGGTTGAACTGTGCTGGAACAGTGTTGTAAATACAACTTAAACCAGGGCTGTCCAAACTCGGTCCTGAAGGGCCGGTGTCCTGCAAAGTTTAGCTCCAACTTGCCTCAACACACCTGACTGGAAGTTTCTATGCCTATTAAGAGCTTGATTAGCTGGTTCAGGTGTGTTTAATTAGGGTTGGAGCTAAACTCTGCAGGACACCTGCCCTCCAGGACCGAGTTTGGACAGCCCTGACTTAAACACTGATTTCTAGTTGTGTCCTCTTTTGGAAGGCCAAACAAAGTAGTTTCGCTTTCACAACGAAACACACAGCGTCTTCACGACATGGCGGCAGCAACAATACTACAGCGAGAATAAAAGTTACGCCTTCTTTCTTTGCGTGAACATTTGGGCGGCGTTATGCAAATCTTCCCACATTGTGAAGTAGACATGTGGGGGCATGTTAGAACGAGCCGTTTTAGGTAGGTGTGGCTGACTCTTAACTTTTATAAAGAATATCTCTTTGGATTTGAGACTTTAGTCTTTGCAACTTTATAGATCTTCTTTATGCACCGAGAGAGAGCTTGTAACACAAGAGAAAGGAAAAATAAATTGAAATCGCATCATATGACCCCTTTAATTATTGCAGGTTTGCATCATATTCTGAGTTTGCATTCAAGTTTTTATTCATTTTGAGGAATAATACATTTTTGTGCAAGTGAGGTGAGTAAATGCATGTTCGTATATAGTCTAGAACTACAGTAGCCATTGTATTTAGGCTACACATTGCACTTACTGCAGATTTTTCTGTTAGACAATAAATGGGAAAACAAAGTATAACTGGCGCTACTTATTTGAAAAAGTAACTGTAAGTAACTGATATTTTACTGTAAATTGAAAAAAGTAATCTGATTACGTATATGCAGATTGTAGGAACTACTTTATCACTTGATACCGCTTTAAATACAATATTGTGTGTGTGCATGTGTGCGTGAAAAACATTTGTAAAAAATTCGAGTGAAAAAAAAGAATTAAAAACTTTTACTTTTAATTATTAATCATTTTAAAACATTTACAAATGTTGAGAACATTACTGTTTTATTCTAATTTCAAAGCTGAAAAACAGATCAATTGCAATTATTTCATTATGACTAGTTTTTAACAGTAACAAATAGAGTACAAAAACTCACAGAATGAAACACATTTGCATGGACTTACATGGACATGGAAAGTGAGCAGACGATTTCGGTGTAGAAAGGCTGCTGTTTAGCCACAAGAATGCACGAATGCAAAGCAAAAATGCAAAAGACTTTGAATTTTTAGCATATTTATGAACAGTTTAATACATATTTTGATATAATTTTAAATGCAAGATTTTAATTTTTTCTGTTCATCTGTCAGACTCTGTTCCGTGTGTTGTGTGTGTTTTCCTCCTCATGCGTTTCCATGTCCTTATTTGGTCTTTCCTGTTCCTGTCTTCGTTGTGTGAATTTGTTTCCAGCTGTGTTTCATTAATTAGTTAATTTGCTCCCAGGTGTGTCCCATTTTTGTCTGTGTATTTAAAGTGTCCCCAGTCCCTAGTTCTCTGTCTGCTGTTAAACGTCATCCTGAGTTCTTGAGTTTGTCTCCCTTTGTTCATGGAATTAAAGTCTAGTTAAAGTATTCTCCAGCGTCTCCTCGTTCCTCTCTAGTGAATTGTGACCGAACAGCGGACCGATACAGAAAGTAAGCAGTGCCTTTTTTTCCCGTTTGTTTTTTGGTTTTCTGAAGTGTTTTTTTTTCTTTTCTTTTTTCGTGCGTTTCTCCCCGCCATAATGGAGGAACAAGTACTGTTCATCACAGTGGCTCAAGTGAGCTCAGACCCTATCGTCTTCGCGAGTGCGTTTGTGCCGCTCGCCCTCGCCAGCTCCCTCGATGGGGAAACCCTCGCGACGCTGTTCTGGATCGGGATGACGTTCCACCATCCCACGGAGCTCCCAGACACCACCAACCTCCGCTGGAAGGATACAGTCATCCGGTGTCTGGAGAGTCCCCGATCCGGAACCCCTCCGCCGGCCGTTCCCGGGTCGAGTCAGCCGGCAGTTAGTGTGGCAAGCCCCGAGGACGTTAATGTGGCAAGCCCAAAGGACGTTAATGTGGCAAGCC